ATTACTAACCATCACTAGAGGAGACCACAGACTTCAATAATGATCTCCATCTCTAGAGGAGGCCATATATTCCTGTAAATGAGTCCATCTAAAAGGGAGGTCATAGATTCCCATAACTGACTCCATCTCTAGAAGATGCCATACATTACAATAAATACCTCCATCTCTAGGGAACGGCATAGATCCCTGTCACTGACTTCATCACTAAGGAATGCATAGATTTCCATAACTAACTATCTTTGGGGAGGACCAAACATTCCCATAACTAACTCAATCTCTAGAGGAGGCAATAAATTCCAATAATTAACTCAATCTCTAGAAGAGGCTATACATTTCCATAACTAACTCCATCTCTAGGGAAGACCACCAATTCCCACAACCATCTTTAGAGGAGGCCATACATGCCCATAACTGACTCCATCCTTAGAGGAGGCCATACATTCCATAACCGACTCCATCTCTAGAGGAGACCATACATTCCCGTACATAACTAACTTCATCTTTAGAGGAGGCCATACATTTCCATAACTGAATCCATCTCTATAGAAGGCCATACATTCCCATAACAAACTCCATCTCGGGGGGGAGGGCATACATTCCCATAACCAATTCTATTTCAAGGGGAGGCCATACATTCCCATAACTGACTCCATTTCTACAGGAGGCCATACATTCCCATAACTGAACCCCTTCCCAAGAGGAGACCATACATTCCCATAACGGATTCCATCTCTAGCAGAGGCCATACATTCCCATAACTGACTCCATGTGTAGATGAGGCCATACATTTCAATAACCAACTCCATGTCTAGAGGAGGCCATACATTCCCATAACGGATTCCATCTCTAGAAGAGGCCATACATTCCCATAACTGACTCCATGTGTAGATGAGGCCATACATTCCAATAACCAACTCCATGTCTAGAGGAGGCCATACATTCGTATAACCAATTCCATGTCTAGAGGAGGCCATACATTCCCATAATGGATTCCATCTCGAGAGGAGGCCATACATTCCCATAACCAACTCCATGTCTAGAGGAGGCTATACATTCCCATAACCAATTCCATGTCTAGAGAAGGCCATACATTCCCATAATAGATTCCATCTCGAGAGGAGGCCATACATTCCCATAACCAACTCCATCTCTAGAGGAGTCCATACATTCCTATAACCAACTCCATGTCTAGAGGAGGCCATACATTACCATAACCAATTCCATGTCTAGAGAAGGCCATACATTCCCATAACTGACTCAATTTCTGAGTGAGGTCATAGATTTTTATAACTTGCTCCATGTCAAGTGGAAGCCGTAGACTCCATATCTAACTCCAGCTCTATGGGATACCATAACTAACTCCATCTCTGTAGGAGGCTATACTCCAGGAAGTATCTAAATCTCTAGAGGAGGACTCCAATTATCTCCATCCCTAAGGCCAGAGGTCCCTAACCTCTTCTTAACCCTTTTAATTACCTCTTTTTGCCCCTGAACTCTGCCTCTGCCCCCATTAACTATCATCCTTCATAATTCCTTGTCCTCGACCCCTAATTCTTAATCCCTTTTTCTGCTTCCTGAGTCAATATGCCAAGCATCCTTCCTTAGCCCTGCTATCCCTCGAGAGCCCTCTTCTTCTTCCTCAGGGTAGGCTTTGTTTGCGGAGGAAAGTATTTCTTACACAGTGGGTTGCTGTGAGTTTTCTGGGCTGTTTGGCCATGTTGCAGAAGCATTCGCTCTTGAAAGTTTCACTGGCAGGCTGCATCTATGACAGGTATCTTCAGAGTTTGCAAAGTGCGGTGTTCAATGCTTGTCCCTCTCCTCGTCCTCCCCTTCCTCAGTAGCCCATGAAGCCTATAAAGCCCTTTACTGTCCGGGTCCAGCCTATTTGTGTGACCGTGTCCCCCTGCCCAATGAAGCAACTCGGGCCTTAAGGTCCTCTAAGCAGGCCCCTCTCACAGTCCCACCACCCTCACAAGCACAGCTGGTGGGAACGAGAGAAAGGGCCTTCTCTGTGGTGGATACCCAGCTTTGGAATGCTCTCCCTAAAGAAATCAGACAGGCGCCCTCTCTAGCTAACTTTAGGAAAGAACTAAAAACCTGGATGTGGAAGCTGGCTTTGGAAAACAGTTAGCTACTTTTCATTACGATAATGGTCTTATAAATACCTATTGGTTTTTAACTGGTTTTGCCTCCAGTGCAGTGCAATATGTTTTTAAACCCAGTAAAAAATTTAACCTGTGTATTCATTGGGTTGCTGTGAGTTTTCTGGGCTATATGGCCATATTCCAGAAGCATTCTCTCCTGGTGTTTCACCTACATCTATGGCAGGCATCCTCAGAGGTTGTGAGGTCTGTTCGAAACTAGGCAAGTGGGTTTTATATTTGTGGAATGTCCAGGTGGGGGGAAAAGCTCTTGTCTGTTTGATGCATGTGGGAATGTTGCCATTGGCCAGATTGATTAGCATTGAATACCATTGCAACTTCAAAGCTTAGCTGCCTCCTGCCTGGGGGAATCCTTTATTGGAAGGTGTTAGCTGGCCGTGATTGTTTCATTTCTGGAATTCCCCTGTTTTCTTTTAGTGTTGCTCTTTATTTATTGTCCTGATGTTAGAGTTTTTTAAATATTGGTAGCCAGATTTTGTTCATTTTCATTGTTTCCTTCTTTCTGTTGAAATTCTCCACATGCTTGTGGATTTCAGTGGCTTCTTTGTGTAGTCTGACATGGTGGTTGTCAAAGTGGTCCAGCATTGCTATGTTCTCAAATAATATGATGTGTCCCGGTTGGTTCATCAGGTGCTCTGCTATGGCTGACTTCTCGGGTTGACTTAGTCTGCAGTGCCTTTCATGTTCCTTCATTCATTTCTGGGTAATGCTGCATTTGGTGGTCCCGATGTAAAGTTGCCCACAGCTGCACAGTATACGGTAGACCTCTGCAGAGGTGAGAGGATCCCTCTTGTCCTTTACTGAACGTAGAATTTGTTGGATTTTCTTGGTGAGTCTGTAGATAGTTTGTAGGTTGTGTTTCTTTATCAGCTTCTCTATTCGGTCACTGGTTCCCTTGATGTATGGTAAGAACATTTTTCCTCTGGGTGGATCTTTGTCTTGACTCTCGTAGCTTTTTCTCGGTCTTGCAGCTCTTCTTCGTGACCTCATCCTCCCCTACGAGCCCACACGGTCCTTAAGATCTTCCAGGGATGCTCTTCTCTCGCTCCCACCCCCATCTCAGGTGCAGTTGGTGGAGATGAGAGAAAGGTCATTCTCAGTGGTGGCCCCTCGTCTCTGGAACTCCCTCCCCAGGGAGATTAGACTGGCACCCTCGCTATCCACATTCCGTAAGCAACTAAAGATGTGGATGTTTCGTTGTGTATTCGACTGGTGACTCCTTTGACAGATGGTCTCTAATCATGACCTGAATCCAATTTCCTATATTTGATTACTACATTTTGAGTTAAGCTGAAATGATCCTTGTATTGTCAAAGGCTTTCATGGCCGGAATCACTGGGTTGTTGTAGGTTTTTTCGGGCTATATGGCCATGTTCTAGAGGCATTCTCTCCTGATGTTTCACCTGCATCTATGGCAAGCATCCTCAGAGGTAGTGAGGAAATGATCCTGTTTAATTCCTCTATTCTTATGCTACTATATGTTCTATCCACCTTATTGACCAGCCTATCCTTTAACTAGTTTCGCATATTGGCCCCCTCCCTCCCCACCCACCCAAAATGAGTCTGTTAGAATCATAGAATCATAGAGTTGGAAGAGACCTCATGGGCCATCCAGTCCAGCCCTCTGCCAAGAAGCAGGAATATTGCATTCAGAGCACCCCTGACAGATGGCCATCTAGCTTCTGTTTAAAAACCTCCAAAGAAGGAGCCTCCACCACACTCCGGGGCAGAGAGTTCCACTGCTGAATGGCTCTCACAGTCAGGAAGTTCTTCCTCATGTTCAGATGGAATCTCCTTTGTTGCTAATGAAGCTTGTTTATTATTGTTTATGCTATTTGAATATGTTATTGTTCTGTATTTAATTGTATGTTGCCTTGGGCTTGGCCCTACGTAAGCCACCCGTGTCCCCTCGGGGAGATGGAGGTGGGGTAGGAAAATAAAGGTCTTCAACTTCTTCTTCTGATGTCTGTGGCCTGTAGAGCCCAGTTTAGGTGATTCAGTTCACTTTGGAGGAGGTGGGCATCGCAGATTCTTATTGCTTGTTGTGTCAGGGTTTTATAGGTCCTTCTTAACTTGTGGAATTGTGCAGTATAATAATTTTATTCAGCCAGCACCTTAATCACTCTAATTTGGACACCACCTCAGCCCTGTTGACTTGTAAATGCCTTTTTATTTTAATGTTTTGAGTGTTTGCTATCATTATATCTAGTAGTAAACATGTTCTAAATGTTTGATTTATATATTTAAATATCTATGTTTGTTATTTTTGAGTTGTTCTATAAGTACACCTGATGTTGTTTATTTTATTGTTTATGATTCGATTTGTTTGTTATGTTATGCCGGCATTGAATGTTTGCCAATTTTCTGTTGTAAACCGCCCTGAGTCCCCTCGGGGAGATAGGGCGGTATAGAAATAAAGTTTATTTATTTTAATTGTGTGTTTTTTTACCTGGGTGATGGCTGTGCTTCTTTTTTGACCATCACCCAATGCTTATCAAGCTGCACAATGGCAATATTCACACTTGCCTCAAGCAGTCCAGAGTTCTTTCTCCCACCCTGGACATCATTCCACAGATATATCAACCCCACTTGCCTAGTTTTCCAACAGACCTCACAACCTCTGAGGATGCCTGCCATAGATCTGGGCGAACGTTAGCAGAGAATGCTTCTGGAATATGACCATACAGCCCGGAAAACTCACAGCGACCCAGTGATTGTGGCCATGAGAGCCTTCGACAACACATTTATTATTATTATTATTATTATTATTGGCCATGGCCCCGCCCCCTCGGCCTGGGAAGCCCCGCCCCTTAGTTCCGGCCCCTCCCCTTGGCATGGGAAGCCCCGCCCCTTCACTCTGGCGGCGGCGGAGGCGGCTGCTGTCGCTGCGTCGCTTCCTTCCTCTCTCCTCGTCCTTTTTGGTCGCTTTCCTCCTCCGTTGCAGGACGAGCGGAGGGAGGGGGCGAGGGGAGGCTGGAAAAAGAGAAGGCCCACTCCTGGCCCGCCTGCGTGTGCCTCTCTTTTTTCGGCCTCTTGCTGTTTCCCCTCATGCGGCGGTGACACTTGGGGCGGCCATTTTGAAGAGCCCTGAAGAGGAGGAGGCAGCGCATGCGCAGGAGGGCGGCGGACTAGGCCGCACGCCTGCCTGCCTGCCGTCGGAGCGAGAGAAACAGAAGAGCTGAGGCGTTTGAGAGGGAGAAGGCCCGACGAAAGACGGAGGGAAGGAAGCCCTGCCTCGGCGGCCCTCCTCACGGGAGGAGGCGGAGGAGGAGAGGCCTCAGTGTCAGGAGTAGGCCGCAGCGGTGAGGAGGAAAAGGCGGAGGAAGAGGAGGAGGAGGAGGCCCTTCTCTCCGGCCCGGCCTCCCGCCCTCGCCCTCCCTCCCCCGCCGCCATTGGGCGAATAGCCAGCAAATACGTGCGCGTCGCCCTCCCGCCGCCGCAGCAGCAGCATCAGACCGAAGAGGAGAGCCGACAGCAGGCCCCGCCGCTGGAGCAGGCCTCGGCCTTGCCGCCGCCTCCTTCCCGCCGCTTCCACCCACCGCCACCGCCGCCTCTCCTGCTGCTCCTCCGCCGCTCCTCGCCGCCGCTCCCTCCTCAAGGGGAAGAGCAGCCTCTCCCCGCCATGAACCACCACCACCAGCAGCCCCAGCCCCCACCGCCGCCGCCCAAGCCCGGGGAGCAGCAGCTAAGCGAGCCCGAGGACATGGAGATGGAAGGTAGGCCCTGTAACCCCCCCTCCCCCATTTCTCATTAAGGCCTCTTAATCCGCCCAGATAATAAAAGAGTACTTCTCCCCCCCCCCCCCCCCCACAATTTCACGCTTTCCAAAGGTTTTTTCCTTAAATAAAATCCAAATAATCAAAACTTTATATTTATATTCCGCCTTATCTCCCCCAAAGGGACTCAGGGCGGATTCCAACAAACAAAATGGCAACCATTCCATGCCTTGACAAGACCATAAATTCAACTACCAATGCAAATACAATAACAATCCAAACAAGTCCCAAAATAAACCAACCTCCAATTCAATGATAACAGAGCCCATCAAGTAACTTAACTCAACACAAAAAAACATTGACATGGAGAACAATTTACAGAAACACCAAAGGTTCATTTGAAATAAAATTAATAGAGTAATTAACCCTTTTAACTCTCAATGGATTCCCCCCCCCCCCTTAGATTTCAGGCTTTCTTTAAAACTCTTTCTTAACCCTTTCAACTAACAGTGGATCTCCCCTCCTTATTAGACCCCCATTTTCTCGCTTTCTGATTCCCAATCTCTTATTCGCTGACCCTTTTCAGCCATGGCTGCAGTTTCCTCCCTCCCCTCTTTTGCCTCCCCTCATCCCAAATTGAGGTCCTCCTTTGGCTCTTTTTTTCTTCTTCCTCCTGCTCCCAATCCCTTGGGGAGGGGGAGGCTTCCACACAGCCATACCACTCAGAATGTCAAGGCAGTTAATCCTCAATATTTGCTTTGAACTGGATTATCAGAGTCCACACTTCCATATAACCATGCTCAAAGAAAATAATACAGGCTTTTATTCATATGGAATGGGCCTCACACTCTTACTCACTGGGTGCAGTTTTGTCCCCCCTGCCACTTTTCCTCCCATCACCCATTTTAAGCCTTCTTTCAGCCTGCTGTTCTCTTACCCCCCCCCCCCCAGACTTTTAAATTCAGGCCCCTTCTACACAGCCATATCATCCAGATTATCAAGGCAGATAGTCCACATGATCTGGATTATATGAGTCTATATTGCCATATAATCTGGGCCCCTTCCCATATCTGCCTTGATATTCTGGGCTGTAGGACTGAGTGGAAGGGCCCCTAGTTCAAAGCAGAGAATATGGATTTTATATGGCAGTATAGAAGGGCCCTCAGTTCCCAGGCCTTGGTTTCATCTGTTGCTTGCTACGGTTTCCCTTCTCCCCAGTTTACAACTTTTTAGACCCCTTCTGTAGTGCTATAATACAATCCAGATTCTCTGCTTTGTACTGGATTAGATGGAACTGTAGACTCATATGATCGAGTTCAAAGCAGATAGTGTGGATTATATGACAGTGTAGAGGGGACCTAAGACCTCCCTCACCCCCAAATGGAGACCTCCCCCTTTTCCTTCTGCTCCCAATTCCCCCCTTCCTTGAAATCTCACACACGCTCCTTTCTCTGTCCCAGGTTTCTTCTCATCCCTTGCTGCAGTCTTCCCTTCCTGGCTTTTCCTCCCATCACACCATTTTAGACCTCTCTTCAGCTCTTCTCTTCTTGCCCCTAGTCTCTGTGCATCCTCTTATACACTTGTTTTCCAGACGTGGATTTCCTCTCATCCATTGCTGCAGCTTCTTTTCTCCCTGCCCCCCTCTTTCCCTCCCATCATTCTACTTTCAGACCCTCCTTGGCCATCTTTTGATGCCCCAGTCTATTTTTTTCCAGGGTATTACCTGGTTTCCCAGGCCTGGATTTCCTCTCATCCCTTGCCATAGTTTCCTCTTTCTCATGCACATGGGTTTCAGGTTCACTTTGAGTTCTCCCCTCCAACGCTATACCTCCTTGTCCCATCTACTTTTCTCCCAGGCCTAGATTTCCCCTCATGGATTACTGCAGTCACTCCTCCCTTTTCACTCCCTGCTCCCCAGTGTGATGTCTTCCTTGTCCTCCTTTGGTTTCTTTCTGTACTGCATGCTCCTAGTCATTTCCCCAGCCCTTTTTGGCAACCTTTTATATTATGTTTGTTTCTAGTTTGCTTTATTGCTCTACAAAAGAAACTCAAAGCTCCCAGAAATCCCAGCCAGTTTACAAGCTGTTAGGAAATTCTGGGAGCTGAGGTCCAAAACATTTGGAGGAGCACAGTTTGAGAAATTCTTTTATCAATTGCAGCAGTTTCTCCCTTCCCTCCCCGTGCCTTAATTTTACCATCTCTTTCCTCTTTCCACATACTCCCCTTACACTTTTCTCTATGTCTGGGTTTCCTCATTGACTACCACAATTTCTTCCTCCCTGCACCCCAATTTCACATTTTCTCTCTCCCCCCCCCCAATGTTGCAACCACCAGCATCTTTTCCCAGCCCTTCACCCTCTTCTCCTACTTTTGAATTTTGCGTTTTCCCCTCCTCATTCTCACAAAAGCATGCCAAGTCTCTAGCTTAGCCCCCCTCCCTTCTATTTTCCTGCCCCCTGTTCCAGTTCAATATTGCAACACCCACTTTCCCCCTTTTCCCTATTAGCCTCCTTCTCTCTTTCTTTCAGGCTCCTCCCCTCCAATTTCCAGAATCTTTCTTGCAGGCCCTTTTCTTCCTTTCACAGCCCAGTCTTCCTTCTAATTGAAACTGTAATTTCACTCCTCCCAACACAGGAAAAGCCTCTCCAACAACCTTGCATTTGCAGGCCCCTTCTGCCTCTATTGATTCTTGCAACATCCTTTCAGTCTCCTTATAAACTAGACTTGTTTCTTTTCCTTCAGCTCCAGTCTTTACTGTTCCATCCCCAACTCCCCCAAATCTGATAGCGGTCTGCTTTCCTATGCGTTTTCACTCTTCTGTACTGTGTATATGTAAATGCTTTGCTTCCTCCTTGCATTGATTGCCTTGAGGCTTTTCCCATCCTTTCCAGCCCCTCTCTCACTTTGCAGTCCTTTTCTCTTGGCATTTCATTCCTTCCAGTCACAGTCACCGCCTGAGTTTGCCTGGTAACTGCCAGCTCTGCATATTTCCCCTCTTCATTTGCCCTACTTCAAGATTAGGATTTTCCAACTTTGTAGCCCCCACCTCTAATCCGAGGCCCAGTCCTTCCTCCCTTCTGCTATCATCTCAATTTTGGAGGCATTTTAGACACTTGTTCTTTGACTATGCAATTATCCCTTCTCTGCAAGTCCCTCCGCCTTTTTTAATTTACAGTAATCTTACCATAGCTCTATGTTTAGCTCTCCATTCAGCCCCATGCCTGAACCCCGCAGCCACTTCCACCTCCTTTTTACCTTTATAGGTGAATATTATGCAGCTTGTCCTTTTTATAGGCCTAATGAAGCCACATTTCTGCTATCTTTTTGCATACAGATTGATGCTGACTTCTGGCAATCCTCTTGGAGGTTTTTCTTGGCAGGATTTATTTAGAGAAGGTTTGGCTATTCCCTTCTCCTTAGCTAGAGGACTGCGACTTGCCCAAGGTCACCCAGTGGGTTTCCCCATGGGATGAAGAGCTCTCCTTCATAATTCTCCTCATTTTTGTAGTTTCTGTCCTCCCATTTTCTAACCCTCTCAGTTTTCATTGCACTCTTCTGTACTATTGCAGCATGGCAGTCTCTGATCTTTAATTACTCTAGTTCTGCACTAACCATTCCCTGCAATCCCTTCAGTAAACCTCCCTTAAAATTGTAAAACTAAAGTAAGGCTTAGATCACAAGACTCAATTTGATGCCCATTCTCCTGTTCGAGCTAGATAAATTAAGGTAGCTGAAATCATACTTCATTGCCCCCTTGTCTAGGGCCATAGAAGATACTTTCTGCTTTCCTCTCTTTGGAGAAAGAAAACCCACTGCCATGTTGGTAGAAACAAGAGAGGGCCTCCTACCACAGAACTAAATCCCATTGAAATTACTGAGAATTTGTTAATTCCCACATACTTAAACCCCATGAATTGCAACAGGCCTACTTGAGTCGGAATCAAAATTGGACTTCATTTTCGACCACCTTCTTCCAGTCTGTCTGTCTGTTTGCTTGCTTGCTTGAAGGATCTTTTGAGAAACCTGCAGCTAATTTTCCCCCAGAGAAGCATCATATTTGGCTCCCCCTCTATCCAGTGAAGGCAAAAGTTTTTTTTTTAAGAGAATGATTACATTCCTCTTCTTTTCTGGGATGCTGTAGGTGGGTTTTGCTGGATTGTTGTCAATGTAGCCATGTGTGGCTATGAAAGGCACACTAATGTGCTGGAGACTTTATAAATAAGAAAGTATATGGGAGAAAACTAGTGTTTGTGTATGTATCTAACTCTCAAAAAGGGAAAGGACACAAGTTAATTAGCTCAGTGCTTTTCAGACTATTTAATGCTGGGACTATAAATTATTCCCCCATCTCCTTTACCAGGGGTAGTTAACACATTGTCCTTGATGGCTACAAAATGCTGAGAGCCACAGAGTAACAACCAAAGACTCAGTGGCCAGTGTTGATCCACAGACTCCCACTTTGAATAATGCTGTGTTAGCATCAGCTCTTTTCAAAACTGGGGGGTTACTTCCATTGCAGAAAGCCATAGAGAGTGCTTTGGGAGGTGGGGGGAGTGATTGCTTTTTGCATGACAATCTAAGAATGGGATGAGCAGGAGAGATGCATGACTCTTTGCAGTAGATGTATAATTGTAATAGTAAAGGTTTGTGTATGGGGGGGGGGGGCGTTGTTGAAGAGAGTTGACTCTTGATGTGAGCAACCTTTGATAGGAGGGAGGCTGATAGCTCAGGATTGCTACATGTCCTCCCCCCCCCCCCCCCCCCCCCACACACACACACACTCACTCAGCAGTTTTTAAAACATTTTTTGTGTAAAGCCTCCAGCCTCCTGTTCCTATTGTATCTTCTTGCAGAAAGACAGTCGGATGAGATGCTCGCCATTTTTAATTGGGGCAGCAGTGCAACTGTGCCTCATACTCAAGGGTTATTTACAGAGAAGGCATCCGCCTTTGGTGGGGAGGGGAAGGGATGGTGGTGTGGGCTGAATCCTAGCTGCCTGT